ATAATTTAAAATATTCTCACATATCATTATTCCCTTGTAATAAAATAATGAAAGTATGTTCTACAGTAAAATTTCATGGAATCTCATACATTGCATTCCTATCAGTATTTATTAAACCACAAACCAAAATCGCGAAGCAGGAATGCATACAATTTTTAAGTTCCTTACAAAGTCCATGTATTATAGGATGGGATTTTAATGCACGTCACACTTCATGGGGTTGTGCTCATGATGACGTATTTGGGAAAATCCTGATTGAAGCTTTAGATGGCAATAATCCAAGATTTATTATCAATGGAGATCCAACTTACATAAAATATCGATCAAAATCAGCAATAAATCTTAAAATATTTACCTCAAATTTACCATCAGCTAAAATGACGGACCTTGTCAGACCCATGTGGGTCAGATCATTTGCCTACACTGAACAATTGTAATTTTACTCCAGAAAAATTGTCGTTTGCATCAAATAGAAAATGAAACACACACAAAGTTTCAGGTTCTGTTTCGAGAGTATAAATAGATCTTATGGCGAACCTGGTATAGATTATAGCACTAACAATGTTAACCAGTCGGCTGAAGCTTCTATTTAGAAATATGAAACAGAAATAATGTTAAAGGAAACTCGTGGGGGACCAATGAATGTAATATATCAGAAGAAAAACGTAAAGATAGTTTTAGACAATATCAGGCAAACCCAAACCTCGAAGACTTACTCAGTTTTAAAAAACTTGACGCGAAGAGACAAATATTCAAAAAGGTCAAAAGGGAAAGTTGGCGTCATCTTTAAATAGTAACACCCCTCTTAAACCAATTTGAAAACAAGTTAACTTGTATAAAAGTAGGCGAAAGAGTAATTTTATCATATTATAGAAGCTTCAGCAGAGTGGGTACAGGAATTTAATTGTATGTTGTCACCAAATTATGTAAATATCAACATCCTAAACGCAGACTAACCATGAACTGATGCAACCGTGACAGGATTACAGGGAGTCTTCAAACAGAACAACAATACATATCCGGGAAAAGACCAAGTCCATTATTCAATGTTATACCAATTACCTACAACAAAACAATAGTTAATGGATGGATATTTTCAATAAAATATATTGTGGGGATGCTGAAATACCGAAATATTGGTATAATTGACCAGCTATCTATCCCTAACTAGCTCTAGAACATTTCGCCAATTTCATTAGTTTCCCAGTCGACAAAAATTGCTGCTTTGTAATCTGATATTTCCTGAGGTCGGCCAGTTTTTTGGAGCTAATTGGTGAGATTTTTCCATCATCCAACACTATTTTGCGGCCATAATACCAAATTAACATTTGTTGACAAATTCATTCCGTCAAAGTGAACTTTATGAGAAATAGATAAGGAGTGTTCATATGCAATATGACCAAAAAGAAGAAACTGAAAGCGAAAACGAAATTATAAAACCAAATATTCAAATTAGCGTAAGTGGAAAGAGTATCAAAGAAACAATTGTCAAAGAGAATTATTATCTTAAACAGCTTTTAGAAGAAAAGGAAAGAATTATATATCAATTGGTAAATGAAAACGTAGGCTACAGGAAGCGTATGACTTCATTTCTACCAACATAATAGGGAAGGAACCCGTGGTATCTACTTTGGCTATTGTAACTGATCAACTAGAACAACTTGAGAAAAGAACCTCAGAGAATGTATCATACTCACAAATGTTTAACCAAAATTCTCTGCAACAACAAGAACAACAAGGACATCAAATCCATATTAGTTACTCCCGAAAGGACCCAAAATTATAATGACACCAAAAAAGACTTAACTAGCAACATTAATCTAGCCAGTATTGAAGTCAGAGTAGAGAAAGTATTAGTTTATATCAAATGAATATAGGAAGCATGAACCAAAGTGTTGACTGTTTTTATATCTTTCTGACTGCAGTTAAACAAAAATCACATACAATCAGAATGATGAGGTGGTGGTATATGTAAGAAATGATATCAACTACAGATGTGATTTTGCTACATTTAATGACGGCATCACTGCGTTGGATTTGATTTTGTGAATTAACAACAAAGGTGTAAAAGTCTCATCTGTATATTGACCACCATCATCAAACCCTTATACATTTTCAGAAAATCTTGAAAAAAATTTTGTTAGATAACATAAATGCCATACAGTCACACCACGTCATAATAGGAGACATGAATACAAGATACCAAATTAGCAAACAAATAACCTCACTGTAATGCACAGCAACGGATTCATATCACATATAAATTTACCAACAAAATAGTCGATAATAGTTCTAGTTCTTGCATTGATCATTGTTTTATCAAAAATTTTCCAAATTTCTTTCGGTACATACCATTAATTGTTGAAAACCTTATGACCGATCGTTTTCATACTGTAATGCTTATATCATCAGAAAAAAATGATAGTAGATCCACCTCCAATAATGAAACAGTGAAATTTAGCTGTTTTGTCGATAACAAGAAAACTACTTGCCAATATCAAATTAGAATCGTGGACATCAGTGTACTGTGCAACAAATGTTAATGATGCTGCAAACACACTCATTGCACGCATAGTGCATTTAATTTAATTTAATAAAAAAAATACAAGATGCCAAATCTGATCCAAGTTTTGAACGCCATATTCCCAAAAACCCAACTTCTCAGTTATTTTTTTTAGAAAGCGTTAGTCCGATTGAATTACAAGAAACTGTACTATCACTTAAAAACAAAAAAGTCCTTGTATAGATGGTATCAAGGCTGAGCATTTAAAAATAATAGCCGACGACTAAGCCGAACCACTTTCTTAAGTCATTAATTGGAGTTTCCAATCTGGAATTAGCCCTGATGCATTTAAAACAACAGCACTCCTGTTTATAGAAGCGGTGACAGAATAGAAACATCAAATTATAGTCCCATATCAGTACTATCGAATATAGCCAAAAATTTCGAAAAGTTATTACAAAAAAGGATATTACAACTTTTGGTCAAAAACAAAATTATATGTTCTGACCAATATGGATTTAGAAAACGGAAATCTACTACAGTCGCAATTTTGCCTGCAATGGATGAAATTAACTCTAATGTTGACAAAAAATACCTCCTATTGGTATCTTTGTTGACCTAAAAAATGCCTTTGATACGGTAAACCATGTCGAGCTTCTGAGAGTTATGGAAAGATTGGGATTTAGGGGAACGTCACCAATCCTTTTAAAAAATTATCTTTCAGATCGGGCACAGACTGTCAAAATCTCTAACACTTTTAGTAAAAATGTACATCAAGTGTGGTGTCCTCAAGGAACAGTACTATTATTTAATCTCTACTTAAATGATTTATTCAAAATTAACAGTACTGGAAAGATTATATGTTTTGCAGACGACAGCCTCGTATTATATAAAGATGATGACTGGAGCACACTAAAGCAAATCGCTGAAAAGGATTTTATAAGGATCATTGACTGGTTTGATAGTAAAATTTTAACAGTTAACTTCAAAAAACAAAATTTCTTGCATTCACATCCTATTCCAAATTTTCACCTAGCTTCGAACAAATTTCTGTTAATTATCATGGCCAAAAAATAAAATTCAATAGAATTGGAATATTTATAGACTCACATTCAAGGTGGGATAACCATATTAAATATGTTATCTAAAAAATTAGAAATGTTGCCTATAAACTCGAAACAGAAAGTTACCTACGATTCATGTACCTACCATGCCTTAGGCCCGTATCGTCAGTCGTCCCTACAATTGTAGGGCGCGTTTATGGCCTCCTTGCTTGTCATACTCCTTTCGCTCCTTCAAAAATTTCTATATTACACTTGTCCCGTGTCAGCGTCAGCGCTCTCCTATTGTGAAGATATGTTTTCTTTTTAAATTATAGGAAATTTCAGGCTGATAAAACATGATATAACTCAAAAGCAAGCACAATTTGATGCAAATAGATGTTTGTGAGATAACCTCAAAATAGAGCGCTGACAGGGAGAAGTAGAAAACTATGACAATATATCGGCACACAGCCTGGGGTACCGCCTGCAAGACACATATTTCTGACCTAGATATAGCACAAAAACAGTTGTGAAAGCTATTTTCCATAAGCCAAGATTATATCCGACGAACAACTTATATCAGGAAACAGGGATACTTGATACTAGACAACTTTAATTCTTACATGCCACCACTTTATACCATAAGCATTGTAATAAAAAACATCTCATAAACACGAGCCTAACACAGGATTTCGAATAGGCTCATCTAATATCCAAAGACCACACAAAAAATTATTCAAAATATCATTTAAATTCGTAGCAGCTACATTAAATAATCTAGTACCACACGAAATAAAAACAGTTAATTTCTGAAAAAATTAGACGATATGAATGACGATACATAACAAATATAGAAAACTAAACCTACAAAACTCCAATTATATTAGGGTAAACCGAGGAAAGATGGCCATATTTTTTTCATCGTGTAATATTTTTAATAATTGGGTTTTAACAAAAAATATAATATTTTAGGGTAGGGCATGGTAATTATTATTGGTTGCTCTGTGCAAATTTATTATAAATATGGTTTTTCAAGTTGTTGATAAATATCGGTATTCTTTATACATATGGCGGGCCATCTCTCCTATAGTGTTTAGTAGAGATAGCCATATGATAGAAGGTAAGATGGCCATCTGAAATTTAAAGAAAATAATGAGTTTTATAAAAATACTCGTGAAATACATATGAGGCTTTATTATTACATATAACAGAAAAAAAACTAAAAACTCAATAGCCAATCCTTTTGTCAAAAAAGTAACTCACATCAAAAAACTAACTAACTCAGTGAATTAACTATAAACCACTACAAAAAAGAACAAAACAACATATTTTTTTGTAAAAAAACACGTTAATAGTTCAAGAACAAAAGTTTATTATTTTGTGCAACGAATGACTATTGCTAATCTCAAGTTTGGCAGAATTTGATCCACTACAAAGTTTGTGGATCCACAAACCACATACGGTGCATCTAAACCATAATTCGTTGTCTTTTCCGAACTCCCCACAAACAAAACAGATATCATCGTCCTTGTCTCTTGAGGAGTCACTATCATAGGATGAAACTTGCGAATCCGAAGAGCTTTCATCTCTTTTGGTCTTCTTTCTTATTTTTGTCCTACACTTGGCCCTTTTGTTGCCAAAATTTGCTCTTTTGCCAGAACTAGTTGAACGCATATTTTTTAAATTGTTATTATTTTCCGAAGTTTGTTTGTTTTTCTGCGTATTTTCACAGATGTTAAAATATTTGCGATGGATTTTGATCTTTTTTTTGTAGACTCGATTCGAAGCTTTGGCACAGGTGAAAGTTCTTGCAATAATTTGCTTGGTGTTTCGTTTTCTATTTCGTTAGGCTCTTCAGACGACAAAAGTGGCACTCCACCTTCAACTTGCGGCATTGGTGATGGTGTAGTATCCCTGTTTTGTCTTTCTTCATGATATGATCTTGACATTTCATTAGCATCTAGGTGGTCGGCAATGGGAATGCATAATCCGGGATTATGTCCGGATTAAAAGGGTAGATACCGGTAGCTCTAAAGCCTGAATTGGCATTTTCCGGCGTGGCAGATTTACCCCAAAAATCCGATAGGCGCTCTCCAAATTGGTATCTAATGATGCGTCTTCCTGCATGTTGTTTAAGCCACAGCTGACAGCTTTTATAAAATGCGCTTTTAACCGATTTAAATACCGACCGGTCGAGTGGTTGCAGATAATGCGTACAATGGCTAGGAAAGCATAAAAGAATGATGTTGTGTTCTTTGGAATACTGTAGCATTTCCACCGATGAAGAGTGAGACGTATGGACATCAAGTAGGAGAAGCGTTGTGCCTTCCGGTTTCCTGGGTACAAAGTGAGTTTTTAGCCACCTTAGGATAAGTCGGAGTTCATGTACGCTGACTTCTCCGACAAAAACAGCTGAGAACCAGGAGGCATTTTGTCATAAAGTTCATGTTTTAAATTTTTTCCTTTCATAATAGCGACAGGAGGAAGAAAGGTGCCCTCGGCGTTATAGCAGGCAACAACTGTTACAGTCTCGCCCTTTTCTGCTGAAGCAACTGACGAAACTACTTTTGATCCTTTTACTACCAAAACTTCCCCCGGTCTTGTATTTAATTGTAATCCACTCTCGTCCATATTAAAAATATTTTTCGGGTTTTTCAAGAGATTGTTTTCTTCCAGAACACTCTGCAGTACTTTAAAGTAATCAATTACTACATTTCTAGACATTGCTGTGCACCTCGCCAACGACAAACTTTCTGCTTTTCTAACTGATACTTGTGGATGTCTGATGAGAAATGACTGCAGCCAAACGTAACCAGCTTTCTGAAGCTCATTATTAAATTTATGTTTCAAGCCCAGCTGAACAACAAATTTATAAGCTATATTTCGCAAATCATCTCTAGTAAGTGGAAATCCACTTTATTGCATTTCTTTAATATGTCGAACCAGTCTGTTTTCATGTGCAGCCCCGAAAGAAGTGTCTGGACCCAATTTTTTCTTATGGTCTTCATTCTGTTTAATCCGCTTTTCCAATGTCTTTCTCGGAATACCAAAAGTTTTTCCAGCCTGACGTACAGATAATTCCTCATCTTTAACAGTACTCATTGCAGATTTTAGTTGCTCCTCGGTCCATTTGGCCCTCTCCAATGATTTTCGTTTGTAAATATTTGGCATCTAAAATAAATACAAACTCTCTACGATGGACATCTTACATAGGAAATAAGTGGGCCATCTCTCCTTTTCTTCGAGTAAAGATGGCCATAGCATGATTTTATATACGTTAATTCGAGTAAAATGCTTAGGCAACACAAAACACACCACACATGGTAAAATAAGCACTAGACGGATTGTTGAAGACTAATAAAATTTTATGAAATTTGGCTAGTGGAAAATTGTATTAAAAAACTATTGAACCCATGTAAACAGTAATTTTAAAATAACTTACCTTTAAACTTAGTTAATTGACTCAGAGTTTCTAGTATAGCACGATCACACAACAGTACATTATGCCATAGTGGAAAAAAACGCCCTCTAATAACTATTTAGGAAAATATCGAGTTGGGCCATCTCTCCTCTATGGCCATATAACCTCGATTTACCCTAATACTTTTTAGAACTAACAATAATTGTTATTGTGCTAACTTCACGCCGCACCCCTTTTACGTAAAAGTGAGTTCTGAGCTGTGGATTCTCGAGGTACTTAGAAGTTCTACAGTTCTCAATAGTTTTTCGCAAGAGTTCTGCAAAGTTTCCGAAATTAAAAAAAAAACCAACACTGAAATTGGGGATTCTAAGAGAAAAAATTACCCTTGGTTGGGGAAATAAGGATAAATACGTCCGAAATACCAAAAATTCCCACAAAAACAGTTCTAGCATATAAGTATACATATCTTCAGCATAATACTCAGTACAATTTCAAAAGCAGAACTTGAGGCTGCGGTTATAAAACACTACCCTTGGTTAGGAGAAACGACGAGAAATACCTTGGAAACTACAAAAATTCACATAAAAGTGAAAAAACGCGCAGCACCCCCCTCAAATACCTTTAGCAAAATATTCTGTACATTTTCAAGTGCAGAACTCGGGGATGTCATAAGAAAAAACTACCCTCGGTTAGGGAAAATGTGGAGAATTACCTCCGAAATACCATAAATTCCCACATCAGAGTTAAATACTAGAGCTCTAGCACAGCACCCCCTATCATAATATCCAGTACAATTTCAAATCCGGAGTCGGGGATCCCATTAGAAAAAACTACCCTTGTTGGGAAAAACATCGAAAAATACCTTGGAAACCTCAAAAGTTCTCATAAAAGTGAAAAAACGCAGAGTTCTAGCGCAACACCCTCCTCAAATACCTTTAGCATAATATTGTGTACAATTTCATATGCAGAACTCGGGGATGTCATAAGAAAAAACTACCCTTGGTTAGGGAAAATGTGGAGAAATACCTCCGAAATACCAAAAATTCCCACAAGTGTTAAATCGCACCCCCTTTAGATACCTCTAGTATAATACCCAGTACAATTTCAAAAGCAGAAGTCACTATTGAGAACTGTAAAACTATTCACTACCTTGAGAATTCACAGCTCAGAGCTCACGCTTTACGTAAAGGGGTGCGGCGTGAAGTTAGCACCTCCAAAACTTTTTTAAAATTCCGCAAAAAAATTGCAGAACTATTGTCGCACCCCCCTTAGAACTGTAGAAATATTCGAAAGTATCAAGGGTATTGCAAAAAGGGGTGCCAACTGCCGACGTGTTTAAATCCTATGTCTTTGAAAGAGCTTTTGTTTCGAAAGATGTTATAAAATATGCCAGTTTGCAAATGACTATGGCATTAACACCCAGAACAAAAATGTATCCCAATCTATGAAACATCTATAATCAGAGACTTCTATTGCACAAGAATGGTTTGAGAATAATGGATCATCCATTGCCTACTCAAAATCTTGTATAAGTACGTTTACCAGATCCGGCCATTGTCCTTCAAATACCATCAATTTGGCGGGACAGAATATATCATATAAAACTTCTGTCAAATATCTGGGAATTATGCTAGATAGAAAACTTAACTGGAAAAGACATATTGCATACATTCTAAAGAGAAGTAAGAATGCATTCAACAGTCTGAAGGCCTATTCACATAGGAAATGGGGTGCAGATCCAGCAGTATGCTTAACTTTCTACAGAACTTTAGTTCGATCAATATAGCTCTACGAATGAATATTTTGCATAAATGCACCATGAATTCAAAAAATAGAACAGATCAAAAATAAGTGCCTTAGGCTGAGTGTTGAGTATTTGAACAGCACTCCCATCATTGTCATGGAGGTCGAATGTATTAAACCTCCACTTCAATTGAGATGGTACAAGTTGAGCGACAAAGCTCTGGTTATATTGGTCAGCAAGGGATTCATTAATAAGATCCACGAGTTGTTTATTTATGGATTAACAGCGAAGTATTGATCGTAGAAAGTTATGAGTGCCCTCTTCCCACCATCAAGAAGGTACACTTTAGTCAAATCAATCTATGTTACAGACCTGAATATTCTGCATACAGGTATAGCTCTTCACCCGAAGTTATCTATACGGAGTACTCCGAACTAGATTTATCAACACCTTGAAAATTCCGGCATGATATTCAAGCACAATGGAGTGGATGGGAAGAAAGAAAATTTACGGGATGTTCATTTTATCACAGCAACAATTCCTATCACCAAGAATTGAAGTTACCACCTGAATATTCTGCATACACAGCAGAACTGGTCGCGGTCAATCATGCTATTGAATACTGTTTTGAATTCCAGGGAAATACCAATTTTGGCATTTTTACCGACTGTAGAAGTGATGTACATTTTCTAATCAGGCAACGTCTAAGGAATAAATGGAATAACCATTGCAAAAGCAGTCCAACAGGAAGTAACCTGAAACGAATACAAGAGACTCTTAGAAGCAGACCTTGGTTTCAAGGAATTACCGTTTTACATTATACGGGTAATCGTGAGTAGAATCAAAAGTGGTAATGTCCACCATAAGTCAAGAACTGGATACGGAAATGATTCACATTACAGTTGCGGAAATATAGGGACCTTACAGCTCCTCATATTAGAATGTACACGTTCTAATAGAGAAAATACCGAATTGTATCAAATTTTACCGAAACAAGCATCGTCGAAAAATAGGCGTCAGATTGTAAGATGTAAATGGCAGTAAATTTGTTTAAAAAAATGAATGAAAGCAAGAAAATATTAAAAAAAAACAGTTTAAAATAAAAAATATATCAAAAGTAAGAAAATAAATAAAAAGCAAGCAAAAGAAAAAAGCAATCTTGAAAACAAAATGGAAAAAAGGAAAATAAAAGCGTATTGTTTGTACAAAAAAAGATAAAAAAGAAATGTAATTCTGTTCGCATACTCGATGTAAATAAAATAGAAACAGTGTAGTGACAATATTAAGTAATGGATGTTCTACGTTATTTTATTTATCACCATGATATTGAAAATGAGGATCTCGCCAGTTGGTTATCGATCAGTACCAGTAACAGAACAAGAATAAACTTTTTTACTTACAGTTCGTTATAGGGCCGTAGTTTGGGAACTGTTTTTGTTTCTTACACATTACCTCGTCGCCACTAGATCGATTCTTAACACTTAACGCAAAAAATTGGAGCACACTCAGATTGCATGGTTACAAAAACGACAACAGCTAGACAAACTGGAAGGTAAGCGACAACAATATGTGATGAAAATTTTGATGCACAACTAGACAACCTTTCGAAAAACCGTAATGTCCTCATTTGATATATGGTTATAAGAGCATTTTGGTTCTCCAGAGCTCACTCTTTGCAAACGTACATGTTGATGAAAAATCCAGCAAGGAACGTTTTAACACTTTTTGGAATTTTACTTATTGTAATTTCAAACATTTTGGATTCTATACACTCTTAATGCTTCGACACCTGAATTTTACATAATTTTGACAAAAGGTCACTACCCACTCTGACAAGGACAAAAAACTGTATAGGTCTTTTTGGCGTAACGAAAAGTAATAAATAAATAGAGAAACGAAAATCAAACCAATCTTCGACGTATCCCAATTCCTGGAGGTATTAAGGAAAATTTTTAAAGAGCTGAAACATCAGGGTAGGAGAGAGAGAGCAAATCTGAATTTATATATATATATATATCTTATTTGCAATTAAATTGAAAATACATGCTAAGTATAGATCTATAAAAATAAACTACCTACTAGAGTATTTCTATTCACTCTATGCTATCTCTTGTAAACAAGAAAAGATTTGAGAATCTTCTAAATCCTCAAGTACCTTTCTCGAGCGTTTCTACTCCAGTTACTGGTGCGTATCCTGAAGGAGTGATCTATCTACTATAGAAGCTCAATTTTGTGCGACTGTTTATCATGACATTAAATGTCATGATAGATGCGATCGTGAAAACTGAAAGCACCCTTGCCGTGACGTTAGATATACTCGTTACACACTACCATGATATCAAATCTCTTGACTGCTACTGTTTATGTTATTTTCAAACACTACAGGTTGCAGTCACGAGATAATAAATTCCCAAAAACAGAGTTCCAGTAATAAGCAAAATAAACATTTATCGTTTTAAGAAGAACCGATGGCTTGCTTAAATGAACACTGAGCGAAGAACTAATTAAATTATAATTCGACCAATAAAAAATGTTAATTAATTATGTGATATTTAACAAGTTCAATTAGTTTAATTAAATCCCGATTTGTTAGACAGATTACTTAAATCAATGAAACTAGTTTAATTAACCCAAAACGTAATCGTTTAATTAAATTTATTATACCGCTTACTTAGATTGATTATACTAATTTATTTAAAATTAATGGACTATTAAAATAAGTTTACCTGCTCCTAGTAACGCAATTTCATTATATTCATTATTTTTAATGGATTATTTTATTTAGATTGAAAGGATTTTTGGATAATGTTTGAGATTTGAAAAAACAATCACTGAATGATGTATATTATAATTGTGCTCTGCCAAATCTTAGATATGAAAATTTTTGGAGAACTTGATCTTGGTAGTTGATGCTTCCAATCAAAATAAAAACTTGATGTTTTTTATTTTCATTGATTGTGAACCTATTATATATACAGGGTGACTTCGAAGTTGAGTCATTTATTTTAACAGATCTGATCAAAAGAAATGCTTTTTTCCTTTAACATTTTTCTGGTAAAATTAAAGTAACAAAGTTATAGCCCTTTAGAAGTTTGAGTACCGCCCTGTCAAAATAATAATATTATGTGCTCGTGTTTGGCAACAACGGATATATCGGTTCATCGCATCGGAAACAAAAAAGCGAAAGAATTTGAAACGTTTATCACGATGTTTTTCGTCATTCAGTAACGCGTGAGTGAATAGTGGTGTTTGTTGCGTGGCTCAAACGAAATAAAAAATGGCACATGTTTACGAAAATGCTGAACTTATGGACATGATTCTTATTTACGGGGGGAGTCTTTACAAAATGCTGCCGCGGCATCACGGATTTGTGCGATTCGGTTTCCCAATCGAGTGCAACCAACCCCTCGTGCCTTTGTTAATGTAGTACAAAGGGCTCGTGAATCAGGTGACTTAAGACCTCACAGGGGAGGGCATGCCTGGGCTCCAAGACCGCACGATCAAATACAGGTCCGCACTGAAATAATTGTCGGGAGGATACTTTATAAAACAAGGTAACATTTTTTTTTGATTTTTTTTTTATTTTCACACACATATTTTGGTTTATTTTATATATATACATATATACAGGGTGACTTTGAAGTTGAGTCATTAATTTTCAGATAATGATTGTAGAAGGAAGATAAACCAAAATATGTGTAAAAATAAAAATAAAATAAAAAAAATTTTACCTTGTTTTATAAAGTATCCTCCCAACAAGTATTTCAGTGCGGACCTGTATTTGATCGTGAGGTCTTGGAGCACCGGCATGCTCTCTCCTGTG